GGGGGGTTTCCATACATATACACCCGAGACATGAATGATCATATACATTTCTACAAGAGTTTTAATGCAAGTTGAAAACAAGAAAATGCATGGGGAGTCTTCTACACGGCCTATAGCTTGTAGCTTCCTGCACCCTTCTTCACACCATCCTTGACCTCCTTGCCCTCGACATCCGTAATAACACCCTTGCGTCCGATAATCTGTACACCGCCCTTCTTCAAGTCACCCAGCAACTGCTTCTTCTCGCCCCTCTTCTTCTCCTTGCCCTCGACCTTCTGCTCCTTGGGCTTGTTAAGACCAGCCTTCTTAGCCCTCTCCTTTGCGCGCCGTCGCCTCGATGACTTCTCCTCGCGAGACATTTCTTCGCGAGCAACGGGCATGCCGCTCTTTGTGACAATTTCGGCCTTGTTTTGTTCGTCGCCGGGCTTGTAGATCTCTTGGGGCGCGAGCATGCTTGTGCCTGCAACATCGCCGCCAGCAGTGGGGCGGGCATCTTCCATTTCGATGGCGGGGGCGTCCGTACGGATTTCGAGGTTTGGTGCTGCGGGCTTGGGCTTGAAGTGTGAAGAGCTGAGGGAGTCGAGTTTGGCGGATACGCTTTTCCAAAGGGCCGAGATCTCGTCGTGTTCCTTTTTGAGTTTTTCGTCCTTAGCCTCGACGAAGTTGGGGTCCGTTTGGCGTAGGTGCTCTTCTTCGTAGATTTCGGCCAGGCCTTTGCCAGATTTGGTATCTTCTATCTCGACGCGACCACGGCGGGGGCCTGTTGCGAGGTCGTCTGGTCTTCGGCGGTGTACCTCGTCAAATTCTCCGGCTAAGATGCGTCGTTTGATGAGTGCCTCAATGTCTTCTGATGTTTCTTGGGTGACTATTGGGACGGGTTTGCCGGCTCTTTCAAACTCGAGATTCTCCTCCAGCAGTGAGTTTAGCGGACGGTCAGCTGCGCGTGCCTCTCCAGATAGCTGCCATTGTCGCTTTGCAACATTGGCTGCTTCTAGCTTCCTGATCTCTTCTGCTATCTTGGCCTGTCTGCGTTCGTGTGTGGATCGTCTTGACTTTGGATCCGAAGGGTCAACATCCGAAAGATCACCATCGCTTTCTACATCGTCATCGTCCTCAAACAAATCCCTGTGTACCTTGGCCATAGTGCGCTCCACGTCTTCTTCGATCTCTTCTTCTGGCTCCTCCTGCTTCTCTGGGAAGTTGTGGGGGTTCGGCCGCCCTCGCTTCTTGCTGTTCTTGTTCTTGTTCTTTCCAGCTTTCTGCGCCGGTGGCGCAAAGAAATCCTTGTACATGACATTGTTGGCGTTCATGCCAGCGTCAAGGCCGTCCAGATCGCCCTCCTCAAAATCATCCTCATCGCCGCTGTCACCCTCGGGCGCATTGAGATCTGCGTTGCCGAAAGTTGGTCCACCTTCATCGGATTCATCATCCGACGCGTCTCCTAAAGAAGGCCGCGCCTTGGTCTTGGCACCACCGTCTTCCATTGGGTCTGCTTCCCAATTTATCTCTTCATCGTCGCTATCCACGCCCTCTCCTCTCTGATCTTGCTGTTCTAGGAAGTCGGTCTGCTTGTTGAAATCATCTATAGAGAAGAAACCATCATTGAGACCATTTGGATCGGGCACATAGGTTTCTGCAGGCTCGTCATCAGATCCCTCGTCGGAGAGCATGCCCTCTTCGCCGTCTTCCATTTCTTCATCTTCGTCTTCCGACTCGTCGTCTTCTGGTTTCGCATCCTCGTCATCGTCCACACCGTCGTATTCCCAATCCACGCCCTCTTCTCCTATGTCGGACTCGGTGTGATATTCCTCAGGCTCTTCAAGATCCTCTTCATCTTCCTCATCAAACTCTGGCACAACGCCATCTTCCTGTTCTGGCAGCGAAAGTTCAATTTCCTCTGCTGTCGCCTCAACAATCTTGCGAGTCTGCTCGAACACTTGGTCTACCCCGAAGCCGTCTACGTGGACTTTCTTCAGGTGCAAGACGTTAATGTCGTCGTCATAGTCTCCGCCCCGCTTCCGCTTCTTGCGCAATTCTTGTTGCCGTCTCGACTGCGATTCGCTCACGCCAGCAGCGACAGGGTCGAGATATTGTTTCGCAGCGGCCAGGAAAGACGCATTAAGTTGAGAAGTGGGCTGCAAGAAGGCGAGGGGGTTTGTGAGCAGACTTGTGGGCGCAGTCGCAGCGGCGGGCTGGAGCTCCATTGGGGGCGGAGGGGCCGAGCCCAGGGAAAGCGTATGCGAAGAAACAGAGGTATCGGGCGAAAAGGAAGGCTGTGCCATCCTATCAAATTGTTGTGACGGAATGCGGTTGGGAAGACTCGCAGTGCAGAGGCACTGAAGTTCGCGCGACAGCATTCGAACTTTTTTGGTGGAGAAGGTGGTCATAGCGCGCGTTAGCTCAACCGCCGCCTAGAGCATTACATTTTTGAAATACACACTATCACAGACAACAAAAATATGATCAATTCGGGAAATGCCTAATTCCATGAGGTTTTATCAGTTATATTATATGTTCATGATTGCAAATGCAGAACCTCAAGCTGGCCATAGCAGCGCCGTGCTGATCATGTAAAATGAGTAACGGAAAATCATCGCTATACTTCTATCCTTCTATCCTTTCCCCCTCCTTCTTCATCTTCTGGTGAACACTCTTCAACAATTCAAACGTGAGCATAGTCGTAACGGCTGCAGGAACAGCGCGAACCATATTGGTGCCCATTCCGTTGTAAAAGGCTCTCCAACCCTCTTCTTGGAGGATTACTGTGCATGTTCGAAGTATGCCACGATAGCGAGGTATGTTGATCATACCGTCTGAAGAAGCTGTTCCTGGAGGTCGTGTGTGGAGTTGGTCGTGGTGCCCTCCTCGGAACGTAATATGGTTATCTGAGTGCTCGGGAAGCGCTCGTTGCTGGGTCTGCAGCCGTGTGCGCAAAACCTCGTGTGGGTATGTAGCCGATGTCGCAGTCATTTTGCTGAGTACAGTGGCCAACGCAATTGCAAACCAATGCACCTCCTCGGTCTTTGCATCTGTTTGGCCCATTTCTAGGCCAGTAAATTTCATCTTCAGGAATTCGTATAGTGGAAACTGGATAGCGACGTGTGTGAGTCCAAGCAGAGCTGGCGTAAGCCCAGAGTAGAAAGATATAAGACCTTCTTTGGCGTACATCTTGCGGAAGGCGTCAAATGTATTTTTGTAGTGCCATGGCGGCCGATGTTCGTCTGATGCGCGAGCGCTGACTTGTGACATCAATCTCGTCTTAACAACCCAAATGGGGTTGGTGACTAGGGTTGAACAGCCACCGGCAACTAGTGAGGCAATAGTTCGCGCGAGCCATTTGTTCTCTGAAAGTCAAGCCTAGTCAGCAATGCAAGTTAAAAAGCCTGGAGTAGCTACTGACCCATCTGAGGATAGAGGAGATTCTTGGTCTGGTCGTATGTGCTCATATAGACTGCCCAGGTCGGAATGTAGCCGAGTAGCATAGGCCCGAGGCCTCTGTACAGGCCGCGGATACCATCCTCGACCCAGATGATGCGCGCAGTGCCACCGAGGCCTTTGTAGACGGTGCGGGGCGGTCCAGTATACTTTCGTGGGCGAAATGAGCCCTGCGCCTGCAATCGCGTCTTGATGACATCAAGCGGGCAGGTGACGATGCCGGAAGCGACGCCGGCAGAAGCCCCGCACAGCGCATTGACGGAACCGTCAGGAAGATTTGCGACTTTGACAGCCAGTTTCGCAATGGGCGCACTCCAGGCACTCTGCTTGGTGGGTATCGACATGTCGCGCGGTTGGACAGGCCGGGCGGATGGCGCATACCGGTCGTGGACTTTCGTCGGGGACGGCGGCTCGGGATCGTGTGTCGACATGGGTGGCACTGCGTGTGCCGATTCATTAGAACCAGTCTATGGGCGTGGTTGAAGAGTGGGTGGGTGCGTACAGGCCGTCGTCCCCTTTGCGGTGCCTCAGTGTGCGGAAACCCCGCAGCACTTGAGTAACACAAGAATTAACGATTGTTCGGCTCCATTGACGAGCGGACCAAGTGCGGAGTTGTCTCTGAGGATGCCAGGCCAGGCGACTGCACCAACTATCGCGGGGCAGTTTTCTGGGGCGTGAGGCGAGAGAAAGGACGGCGTGGGGTGGCGGCGGTGGTGATGGTTGATGTTGTGGTGGTGCAAAGCTTGGTTCTCGATGCGACGTCAGAGCCAGTGTCAAGCACGAGTGAAGCTGCTTGAGCGGGTGGGGACTGCCCGATTGATGACTAAGCCCCTGGCCCGCCGGCGGCCAAGCTCAGCCTATTGGCTTTCGTTTCTTTCGCATTACGACCTCACCACCTCCGACTGTCAAAACTGCAATTGACGGCAGCATCACGACTCGACATCCCCGATTCGCCGTCGAACCACCGCAACCATGTCTGCGCCGTCTCTCGCCCCCTACATCATGAAGCGCCCGTGGCTGCAGCGCTGGATGAAGCCCCTCTCCAACTGGTACTGCAACGCCGCTGGCTACAGGCAGCTCGGCCTGAGGTACGGAGCCCCGATGCGAACACCATCTACTGTCGAGGACAGAAAAAAATCCGGAAGGCAGGAAAAGCAGGGTGTGGAATAATGGGCTGACGGAAATTGCTATACAGGGCCGATGACCTGCTCCCCGAGGAGAACGACACCGTCCAGACCGCTCTCAAGCGTCTCCGACCTCAAGAGGCCTACGACCGTGTCTTCCGTCTGCGCAGGGCTTTCCAGGTACTTTTAGATCGAAAATACAGGCAGGTTGGACATCAAGTGGCTAACATGTCGCAGCTCTCCATGTCCCACCAGCTTCTGCCCAAGGAGGAGTGGACCAAGCCAGAGGAGGTAAAGTCACCGCTCTGAATGGATCTATCAGACGCTAACAGGCGACAGGACGTCCCATACCTCAGCCCCCTGATTACCGATATCGAGGCCGAGATGGCTGAGCGTGAAGACTTTGAGACCATGATTGTCCAGAAGAGGCAGAAGAACGCCGCCAGCGGTCACTAAATCTGCGGCAATGGGTCCGGTATGACCATTTTCGGGTTGGATGGAGCGAGTTTGGGGTTTGTGCAATAGAGTGTACCATACCAATGTCTTTCGTACAGGAATCATCTCCATTGCATCCGAACCATTATTCTATTTTTTGGTCTTTGGCACGTTGGAACGATCAATTTGATGCCCACCAATACCCTGGATATATTTCTGGACATGCGACAAAGTGGTCTACGAGAAGTCGTTCTGCGAAGAGTATCATAGCTATGGGGAAATGTTGCATCGTCCATGTGAAATACGTTTTGACCAATTTTTCGAGTGAATTCACTTGCATATAAATGCTTTCATGCATCGCAAGCTGTTGGAGTCGACACGACTGTGAAGGTGGCGACTTTTATCGACGCGACCGTGCAACTACGGATCTACGCATCATAGACCGCAGCTAAATATACAACCAGTAGGTCTGTCCCCAAATAATCCCACCTGCAGTGAAAAATCCGGACAACAATCCATGCAAAATGTGTATTGTTGGCATTGTAACCATTATCAGCGAAACTCATTTAAATGCATTCAGGCACAGGTTCAGAGTGTACAGACTGCAAGCATGAGGAGATGTGTCTGAGTCTCATGTAGAATGCAGTTGGATAGACAAGAACAATCTCATGCCGATTCATAGGTTGAAACATAACAAGCAGCCTTTACTAATTGATTCAAGATGGGAGGATACGATATGTGTAGTTCGCTTTCATCTCCGTATCTTCACTTCGGTCATGCTGCGCCATTGTGAACACCAGGGGCACATGATATATCCAGACAGACATTGACAATCACAACTCCGTCATCTCCTGTCCATCATCATCTACCTCTCCTCCTTCATCACCATCTCCATCAACCCTCGTCAGATTAACCCTAAACGCAGACAACTCCAACATCCCAAACGACCCATCCTCGCGCTCATTCCAAAACACCACCCCATTGAACGGTATACCCGCATAACTCGTCGTCTCATAGTTCTCCACACAAAAATCATCCCAGACACCTCCCGCACTTTCGCCCCGCTCCTCAGCAAGCATACCGCGCCACTCTTCTCCGAGCGCCCTCTCCTCATCGCGATACAAAAGCGTCGGACTCAGCTGAATATAAAACTGCGATGGTGCATAGATCCTGACAGCAGGCGAGTCGTACATGTTCGTCCCATTAGAAATCCAGCGCGTAACAACCAAGCCCCTATGGTCTGCTTTCAGCGTCACCGTAGAATTGAGCTTGCAATCAACAACGCTATATGTACCAGCATAGCGCTCGTTCAGCTGACGGATAGCAATTTTCTCAGCCGTACGAATCAAAGTGACGGTGATTACTTCTCTGATTTTGAAAAGCACCCGGCTGGGCCCAGCGGAAAGAATCGTGATACCCAAGTCGTATTCTGGCACGGCTATGATGACAGAGGTGTAGCCGGGGAGACCACCGCCTTTGGTAATAAAGCGTACCATTCGTTTCGAGTCCTCAAGTATACGATCTGTGTGGAGGATTTCCCAGGGCATACCGTAGAAGGAATTCAAGCCGCGTGAAGGCGAGACGGGGTTGATCCAGTTGATTGCAGGTGTCACGGCATTGAAGTGCGTCAATACGTAGCGGAGGAACTTGGATAGGTCGGTAGAGGAGCTGTATATACCGCCCGTAGGGTTTTGAACGCCTTCGTCTACGTCCCAGAAATGAAGGCCTGAGGGGATCACGCCGGCGGAGTCAGGGGGAAGGGAGAAGGTGCTTTTGGACATTTTCAAGGGCTTGAATATGGCTTCGTCAATGTATGATTCGTAAGTTTGGTTTCGGACGTGTGAGAGGACGAGTCCGAGGATCTCGTAGGCGATGTTGGAGTAGGTGGATGCTTGATTTGGTGCGAAGAGTGGGCGGAATTTCTTAAGCTGTTTGAACAAATCTATGCAGAACTTAGTTAGTGAGGTATCCTTTTTTCTTACAATCCAAAAGCCAACCTTTCCCAGTGCAAGGTGTCTCATAATTCGGTGAGTACTCATCGCACGTCGGCAAGCCCTCTCTGGAAACATCAGGCGGTAGGCCCGCCTTGGCAAGATCAAGATCCTGATGGATGAGATCGTTCTGTGCCCCTAAGAAACCAAATCAGCTTTTGCTTACCTTGATTAGTGTGGCATGCTTGGAACATTGTGCGATTTTTGTTGTCGGACACCTTACACTCGCGTGGGATACCGCTGAGCTGGCTGGCCAGACTACGCAGCGTGATATCTTTCCATGGAACGCCACCATCTGACTTGTATCCCAATTCATTCAGATACGTATTAACCGTCTCATCCAAACTCACATTGCCAGCTGCGTGTTGATACAGAACCCCGAGAACAGTAAAAGCTTTTGTTATGCTCGCGATGCGGTAGAGTGCGTCGCCATTGACTTGTGGGATATCCGGGCGTGAAGCATTGCGCTCGCGCGCTGTGTGGTGTTGCGACCAGAGCGTTTCTTTTGAAGAAGTAATTTCTATAGATAAAGAGGTTTGGTCGAATTCTGGTGCTGCGATAGCTACCGTGAGTGCCTCATTTATCGACTCAAATGCTTCTTGGAGGAGAGGATCATGAGCATCGTATCTAGGCGGAGGATGCGCAATATTGGGCTCAAAACACCCTGCACTTGCGAATGGAGCTAGCAATTGGGTAAACAGAAGCACTAGCATTGTTTCGAAGGTGGAATGTTTACAACAAATATTGTCAATACAGCAAATGCAAGTGCGGGTTGTTGTATGACATCCCCGCGTCATAGGAACTGGTGCCTTGCGGCTTGACTTTGATCGGCGATGCAACCTGTTTCACCAGCCCTCTTCTACATCCCCGCGCCACATACCCATTCTATTATTTCTTTTAGAACATTATCACGTAATATCACTTTATCGTAAGTTCCAGATTCTGTTACTATTATAATCATTTGTTGTGCCAATGTGGAGAAATGGTCACGTGCCATAATATGAGCCAGGTCCGCAACAGCAGCACCAGTATATATTCAGGTGCTGTGGGCCGTTCTCAGCAAGTTGAAAACAACGTAATTACTTAAGGTTCACGTCCGCCAGTCTAAAATTGTATAATCGATATGTAAGAGATCTAAGTCGTCGGATGGAAAGAAATACCATGGTTCATACCACAGCAACCCATCAAGCTCAAAATGTACGACCTGTCTCATATCATGTGGTTCGCTTTATACTCTGGTACTAATCGGGTATATATTATACTCTCACAAAGACCTCTGGGTATACATTCTAGCAAGGAAGGTCGCTTTCTGTTTAACACTCTTACTGCAGACACAAACGGAAACGAACCATCGACTCTAATCTACGCCAATACCAACCACGATGGTCAACACAAGTATCTACCTAGAAGGCAAATATACCGGTCCACAAGCAGTCCGCATCGCCAAACTGGAGAACAAGCTCAGTACCTACGAAGCTCAAAACTATGAGCGCAGCCGTAAAATCCGTGGCTGTGCAACTATCATGGTCAATGACCTATTGCTCTTCATTTTCACGTCCAAAGTACTTCCTTTGGATGTCTGGCTTAGTGTGCCATTTCTCATAGCCTTTATGATCGTAAGTCATCTTACTTGATACCTGGGAAACATATATCTAATGACTTGGATAGGCTGGCGCCACACTGTGTGAAATGGTCACGAAAGAACAAAAGATTCCAAAGAGGCTATATGATAGAATAAACGCCTGAAATTGTAATCAGGATCAAAAGAGCACGGCGGCGCTTCAGGAAGGGGTCCGTGGTAATTTTGCAGCAAGTGAAGTATATCTAAAGGGCTAGGCTATACAGATGTATGGAAGACAGGAAAACTAGAGGTTGGTCTACCGGTTTACTTCCTGTTGACCCAGAGGGGTTTGTGGGTAATGGAAATATGCCATGGGCCACATGAACTTGTCCGCCGATAACCACAATCCATCACTTGATTTTTCAACCGGTCGAGTTTTACATAGATTAGCTGTGCCTTGAAAATAACTCTAATACGGTTTCAGATTCGTGAACACACCCTGTGAGCACCCGGGGCTTCTGATTGCTTTTGTATGGACACGGCGCTCAGAAGGCAGACCAACAAATGTGAATTCTTACGCTATTTTGTTATTGGTAGGTAATACTTTAAATTCATACCAAAGTCGTTAATAACTCTGCCGATCATTGCATTACGAGAATGCGGAGCATGTCGAGATTCTTGATATGTCAGCGCCACGCGATCATGTGCTCAGGCGTCAGCTAGGCTGAACACAAAGAAGCCCCCCACCATGTAACGCGTCAAGCTCGCCACTTCTAACATCAACTATTGAGCCCATGCTTTTCGGGAGCACCATAGCAGGACAAACGCTGAAACATACCGTACGTCGTTGCAACCCCTGGCCAACTGCGCACTCACCATATGACGTCAGGGCCTCTTCACTAGAATAGTCAGCATCCGTTGGAACATCCACAAGTCACATACCATGTCACTAAGACGCTCTGCACGCGTCGCAAGTACTACTGTAACAAAAGTAGCAGATTCAAATTTTCAAAATGGCGTTACGAAGTATGAAAAGGCCACCAAATCAAATGCAACAGCAAAAAAGCGCAAGACTTCGAAAGTCGCGTCCAAGTCACAACCATCAGACGATGTATCAGAGAAGCCTGGAGCCGAAGAAAACACCAACGGAACAATAGAAAAGCAAATCCCGGATATTACATCCACATCTGATCCCGTAACGCCTCTTCCCAAGAAACGCAAAACGAAGCCAACTGCAGAATCGCCAATAAAGCCAGTCCCTTTTACACCCACTCCTGCAGCCGTCACGCTTCTATCAAAAGGCGGAACGGATTTCGATCACCCACTGGACGATCTTTCCAGCCTGCAACCCCGTCCCGCAGAACCACACGCCACAAACGCACCCCTCGCAACACCAAACGGCTCTCACACCGTCCAAGCCTACGGGTCCTCTCCGGTAAAGCCCGGAGACGCAACACCTGCTCGCAAGCGCAAAGCCAAAGAACTGGTACCTCCAGACGTGGGCGCAATCCCCAGTGCAAGCACGAACATCGATCGCTTGCTGAAAGATGCAGAAGCGCATTTAGTGAGCGTAGACCCCAAGTTAAAGACCCTGATCGAAAAACATCATTGTAAGATTTTCAGTCCAGAGGGGCTACGAGAAGTTGTGGATCCATTCACAGCCTTGAGCTCTGGCATCATTGGACAGCAGGTACATTCTTTAATATCGTCTCATTCTATACAAAAAAGCACAATATCAAAGAATATCGTATACACGGCGGATAACAACTGACGAATTCTCACAGGTCTCAAGCCAAGCCGCCGCCTCCATCCGCTCAAAATTCACAGCCCTCTTCCCCTCGACCCATCCTTCCTTCCCTTCCCCCTCCCAAGTCCTATCTCTCCCCTTGCCTACCCTGCGTACGGCGGGGCTATCCCAGCGCAAAGCAGAATACATCCACGGGCTCGCCGAGAAATTCGCCTCAGGTGAACTCTCTGCTGAGATGTTAGTTAGTGCCAGCGACGAAGAGTTGATCGAGAAGCTTGTCGCAGTGCGTGGGCTAGGGCGCTGGAGTGTAGAGATGTTTGCGTGTTTTGGATTGAAGCGGATGGATGTTTTTAGTACGGGGGATTTGGGGGTGCAGTACGTGTTATCCTTTTTTTACCCTCTTCCTTTTACGGTTACAAACTTGTGTGCAAAAGCTTTTTTTTCTTCCTTTCTTCAATTTTTCAGCACGTACAAAAAAGCAGGCTAATTCGGGGTTTTGTAGACGCGGTATGGCCGTTTACGCTGGCCGTGACGTAAGTAAACTGAAGAATAAAGGTGGGAAGTGGAAGTACGTATCATCCTTCCTTTCTCTCGCCATTCAGTGTAGATACTAATGCAGGTCTTTTCGCAACATTTAGATATATGAGCGAGCAAGAAATGCTTGCTACAGCCGCCAAGTTCTCGCCGTATAGGTAAGTGGTACCTGCTCTTTCTTCCCTATATAATCTCTTTTTTCTCAAACAAGAATTGAAGAAACTGATGGTGTTCTTTTTAGATCACTGCTCATGTGGTACATGTGGCGCATAGCCGATGTTGACGTCACTGTCTTGCAAAAGCCGGAATGATCTTGCGATATCTCATTACGGCTGTTCACGACTGCAGCTTTACCCCTACACTATACAAACCAGGCCAATTTAAGGCAACTAAATAGACAGCTTTGGATCTAAGAAGTGACTTATGATTGTATTAGACTCACTACCGTACAGCAATGAGTAGAAGAAGATGGGATAATTTATTACACATTATACTGTATCGCACGCCTGGCAGTCTACACCGCAACGTGACGATGGTAGGAAAGTACTCCGCCGTAACACATCTTCACTTTCTGCACTCTACGTACAACCATGCCTTACTTCTGTTTCAACTAAAGTGCGGTCGTTACCCCCTTCATTGCACTGATACTTAGTTTCACAAGTTTTCAGTGCTTCTGGAATGACAATGCCTGCGTCCAAGCGAGAACCAGTCTTCAATGCCATTGCGAAGAGGATATCTGCAAATGCTTAGAGAAATGTTTTAGAGTATGGTCTTCATGACATCTCCGCTCATGTGTGACCAGGTCACGCTTTTATTCATTTCCTCTCAATAAGGCTGAGGTTTATGGAGGGGCCAGAACGTAGCATGGCGTTGTTGGGTGCCAAAAATCTCAATGCCTCTACTTTGTAAGAATCAGAAGCTATCTTGAACTTGCTGTGGCAAAAGTTGCGTATACTGTTAAGTCGTCCAGATACTGTAGTGTAGTATCATGTGATCGGACTGCGGGTGTGTATTATGATTTCCTTTCGTAACAAAGATAGCTATCTTCTTCAGTCAATTTTTTGGCAGCGATTGGATATCAGATTTGCTCTACCTGTTCAATTGTGGGTCGCTACTTGATCTATTGAGCCTGATCATGTATCATGCCAAAGTAAGTCACTACTTACAGTATACAACTAATAGTGTATACGGTTTTTCGTGGCGCAGAGACTAGAGCTATTGAACATAGCTTTGAAGCGTCTACCGTATAGCGTTGCAGCAAATTTAGAACGTACGGCTGAATTTGCTATCGAATATAGCGAGATAATTCTTTGTTGTTGTAGAAGGCATGTTACAGTAATGCATCTTATGCAACTATAAGCAACTTTATAGGCCTAAAGCTATTTATCTAGATGCCTAGCCTAGTTTATAGATACAAGATGTCTTATGAGATAGGATGGGCGGGGTTACAGAACCCTGCTTGCAGCTCATAGAAACGGTGCTGCAGGTACGCGGAGGGGTGAGGCTGCAATCGCCAGCAGCTGTAATATGTGTGGAAAGATGGAACAGTGGTACTAGCATCATGACCGCAAGCTTCCCTTTCTTTTCCTTATCTTTCTTTTACTCTTGCCCCCTGGTTTGCAATCTAGAGGGTCGTGCGTGTATATGTTTTTTTTGTGGAGAAGGAAGGGTTCGCTATGTGCTTGTTTTGTGGAGAAGGAAGGGGTTCTTGATGTGCGTATGATGTGTGCAACTGTGGGTTTTGTGGGTCAGGTAGAAGCAGGGTTTTTTTTCTTGGGGTTCTTGGGGGTTCTGACGAGGAAAAGATCGATTGCATATGATTATCAGTCTGTTGATCAGCAGATGATCGATGGCCGTTGACCAGGTCATTGGGACTTTTTTGATGGAGATGTCGATTTCTTGGCATGGAGATGGCGGAGTGCTGGTATTTATATCGAGCTATCATGAGATGTTCGGCAAAAGACACCACGTGCAAACATGTAGTCAAGTTCAAACTGCCATCCCCAATGCTGGTCTTATTCAAGTGGACAAATCAGAACACAAGATCCCTTTTTCGTATACACAGATGCCACGGCGGCGCTGCTAGTATTGTCATTGCCGGATGAAAATAGGGGTGAGACGGCATCATCGCTAGTAACCGTCAATAGTCCATGTGCGTGGAACCTCAAAGCGTCGTACTGGCAAAGCAGCAGAGTAAGCGGGTAAAATTGCGAAAAGCTTAGGGCGAGCCAAAGGCTTGATCTAGCCAAGATGACGTGAGCGTGAGCATGAGCCGCGCTGCCGCTTGAAAAACATGATTGCCTGCCATCTTTGCTGGACCCTTTTGCTGGAAAGGGATCCGGATAGTTGAATGATCACAGTTTGGTGTGTGTTCTTGTTAACAACAGTGTATCACGTTGATATCTGTCAGCTCCCTTGAAAAAGGGTTCCTCCGCGAGGCACAGGATGCCTCGTTCGTCCGGCGCTCGAGACATGATCCGCTTACCCGGGAACTCTCGTTGTAAAGTTTATATTGGAACACAACCCTTGAATTGAACTATGCAGGGTATTGTACAATATGTTTGGTAAGGCAGCCTTGCAGTTAAAAAACAAATTTGGGTGAAAGGTTGAGCGCAAGCAGAGACTTGTGACCGAGACTATGTTGAGTTTGTTGTGCAAGTATCGTACAAGGTGTAATGGCCAATCGAAAAGGAAATGGTCTGTGGGCCTGTGTAACTTTTCTAGAAGAGCTACCATCGGTGAGCTAGGTAGGACCAGTACTGTGCTGTTTGCTGTGTCATGTTGAGCTGCAAGTGTACTCTTGAGCATGACACGCACAGTCACACAGTCGGGCCTTATCGTGCTAAAACAATCGGCACATGCGGTGTAGGTCCTTCCTACAGACACCTAGACTTGAATAGCCATTAGGTGTTTGCCGAGGAGCCACTTTTGATATTAAGGGAGATTTGAGTTCCCCGCTGGGTCATATTTCTTTCTTTCGGTGTGCTTAAAGTGGCCGCGCGGCTAACAGTGGGTGCAAGGCAGATTACGAGGGATGAACATCAACAGAAAGCAGTGGGAGCGTCAAGATCCGGGCATGGTGGAGGAGGTTTGTTGTCTTGGCCCGAGACCATGTAAATCACATGTTGGTATTACCATGTGGTTGCTTTGTCGTGGTGGTGTGTGCATCAGGTTGCGGCGAAAATAGAGATGTTGAAACAAAGGAAACTTGTTGTCGCGACAAAAACAAGACCGAGTGTGTGTTGCGCATGAGCATGTGCAAGCTTCGCGACCGACTTGGCGCTTTCTAGAATATCTTGGGATGTCGAAACAAGAAGCTGGCGGCAGCGATGTCATACCTGTCTACTTGTTTCAGCGAGTAGCGGGATACGAAGCGGAGAGGGCGTGAGCTGATGTCGAGGGGATGGGTCTCGGCATGGGAAATGAGACATCAATCAATGCGGGTCTTGTAATTTGCTTGGCGGAGAATGGCGAGGCTGTTCTTCGGGGAGAGGAAATCGATAAGCGAGTGGATGCAGTTGTGAGCAGTGTGAACGCCTCTGGGAAAGGAAATGAGGCTACGGGCCTCGATGATGCAACTGGGCGCGGGAACGGTAAAGGAGGCGGCTGCACGATAGCGCAAAGCAGCAGGAGGGCCCAAAGCGGTCGCCGGGGGGAGAGGAAAGAATAGCACAGTTTGTTGGCAGCATTATTGGTGTTGAGGGAGGGTGGAGATTGCAACGGGCAGGCTAGCTGGATGAGGAGCGGATGTAACCGCATTGGAGCGATTGGAGAGGCGCTCGAGACCGACGTCAGGGGGGAGCCGGCCTAGTCGAGGCCGCGTAAGAGGCAGTTGCTTGTTGTGTTTCGCATCGGCCTCGACGGTGGCAACTGTGGACAGTGGCTGCCCGTTGACTTTTGCACTACAGCACAACGTGCCGCCCATCCGCCAGTGTGTGTGTGCAATTGGCAATTGTGAGGAGCGCACAAAGAATGGACGTGGCAGGCAGCTAGCGGAGGAGGGCGCATCATGGTTGCGTCCAGGCTACTAGACGACTGCTAGCAAGGAGGGTGAGGGGCGATGCAGACGCTACCCTGGATGCGAGGCCCGCACATGGTGGATAATACAGGATTTGGATGCTGCTTGCACTTGTTTGCGAGGGATAACGGGGTGGCCGTGCAGAGGGTGAAATTGGGACCGACGCCGCGGGCATGCTGGGCCCTCTCTAGGGTAGGTGGTGTGTGTAGGTGGATTAGTACTGACAAAGAGAGAGGTCGGGTGATAGGTGGCACAGTCGACAAGCGCGGAAATCTGTTGACAGACAGCATGTGGCCAGTGGCAGTGGTTTTGGTGATGGCCATGGATGGCAGTGGTTGTCGTCGTCGTCGTCGTAGCAGCAGCCGTGGCGCCAGGCGGGCAAGCATCCATGGTCCGTCTGCGGCATTGACTGCGTCCAAAGTGAGCATCGATGATGCTGGGCACCCGCCCAGGCCGCCAATGATCGCCGGCGCAACCACTAGCGCCGCCCCCTAGCGCCGGCCGCGTCTGGCACCATCGCGCTCCCCTTTTCTCCATGCTCTCGCTCTTGTTTGCAAAGTCCTTCTTCTCCTTGTCTTCATCCACTCGCTCTTGACGACCGCGCCTTCTTCAATCGCGCCACTGGGACTATTCCATTTAATACTGCCTGCTTTTCTAGTTAATTCTTCCTCTCGCTCCAGCTCTCCCGTACCCGCTCCCACTTCTCCTCAGCGCCCACCAAACTGAAACGGTGCGAGCAGTCTTAACATCCCAGGTACGTAACTGTCGCAGCCTTCGGCCGACTCCACTCTCTGTCTCGACGCGCCCGCTTACATCTACTCGCAGTTACCGTCCTGCTTCAATTACACAACAAAAAAAATGCCTTCCATGCTCAAGATCGCTGCTCCGGCCCTCGTCGCCGCCAGCACTGCCTACGGTACGTGTTTGCTTTCCCAACAGGACGTGATTGATTGCGCGGCCTCGCTAACTAGCTCCTCCAGCCGCCTGCAGCGTTTCCGCAACCACCACCATCCAGAATGCCGGCGATGCCACTGCTCTGGCCAGCTGCTCGACCTTCTCGGGTAACATCGCCATTGCTACCGGCACCACCGAGGACATTGCCATCAATGGCGTCAAGAAGATCACCGGTAACCTGATCGCAAAGGACAACTCCGACATGAAGCAGATCAGCGCTAGCGACCTCGAGACTCTTGACGGAACCATGGACCTCGAGGGTCTCACCTCACTCTACGCCTTGAACTTCCCCAAGCTCAAGACCATCGACTCCATCCAGTGGCAGGCGCTCCCCAACCTCCAGGAGATCGGCTTCACCTCCGAGGTCACCAAGGCCGACAAGATCGATATCCAGAACACTGCTCTCCGCTCGCTCAAGGGTATCAACATTGAGGAGGCTGACGAGATCTTCATTGCTAACAACGGCTACATTGACTCCATCTCCATGCAGCTTGGTAACGTCTCCACCTCGCTGACCCTTGCCGACAACAACGAGGCCGTCAAGGTCGAGCTTCCCAACCTCATCTGGGCTAGCAACCTGACCTTCCGCTTCTGCGGTTCCGTCTCCGTCCCCTCCCTCGAGACCCTCAATGGATCTCTCGGTCTCTACAACAACGGTTTCGAGACCTTCTCTGCCCCCAACCTGACTAGCGTTGGTGAGGCCGTTGCTGTTGTCGCCAACGAGCAGCTCAACAACATCTCTTTCCCTCTCCTTACCAAGATCAATGGTAACATCCAGATTGCCAACAACTCCAAGCTCGTTGAGGTTGACGGCCTTCCTCAGCTCAAGAGCATCGGTGGTGCTTTTGACATGAGCGGTAACTTCAGCAAGTAAGTACATTTCACGCGACAATCCGAAAGTCTTTACTAATCAATTTCCAGGGTCTCCACTCCCAAGCTCGACAGCGTCAAGGGTGCCTTCAACCTTCAGTCATCTGCTCAGCTCAACGACACCTGCGATTTCTACAAGGACCTCCACTCCCAGAAGCTCATCCAGAGCAAGGACTACACCTGCGAGGGAACTCTCATCGACCCCGGCCAGCAAGGACACGACCCCACCAAGCAGAGCGGAACCGGAAGCAGCGGCCAGAAGGGTGCTGCCACCTCGCTCAGCCCTGTCAACGGCGCTCTTGGCCTCGCAGCCATGGTCGCTGTTCTCTTCTTTTAAGCAGGTTGATGACGCTGGCGTTCACCGTATCGCATAGACTACACCCCCAAGGATTTGACTCTTTTTTGATAGCGTACAGCATCGAGCAGAAACGGGCGTGAAGCCTGGGTTCAGCTTCTGAGGACTGGAGGAGGGCTTGTGGGGATGGTTCATGGATCAGCATGTAACAATTGTATGTATTGTTTGGCTAAAAGGGTCGAGGCAGACATTTAATCCGCAGTATATCTAAGTCTGCCGAGCGACGTGAGGCGTAGCAGTGCCGCGAGGAGGGTTTGGTTTGGGATAGTTCATGCAGTCATTCTCTTCATTTATTTTTGTTCATAAGTTACCCCGTGGAGTTGAGCGTGCAAATGGCTAAAAGTTGAATCCAAGCCTTTTTCGGTCCGAGACGAGCCATGCATATCTCTGTGTGCAAGTGTGTGATGACTGTCTGTGCAGCAGTCATGCGGCGGCCGGCCGGTTTTGTTGCAAAATGAAGCTTTCCAATTATTATTTATGACTAGAAAGTCGCTTGTGACAAGTGCGACACGTTGTAATCAATCTGATGACATATATTGATATAGCAGGTTCAGCCAAGTGTATTCTGGCTTTGAATATGGCGCTGTTCACAGGCAAAAATAAGTAAATAAACATTACGTAGTTGTTTTCGTATTTTTAGGCCTTGACCTCCATCACATGCTTGAGTCTTTCTTCCTCTGCGGGTTGCACACTTGGGCGCATGCCTCGATTCCATATCCACAACAACTACACTACAACTACACACCGCAAACTGGCTACCACATTCGACATCTGGGTAGATAACACTAGGATTGGAGGAACCTCCGTCTCCTTGGTAGCGGCCGCACCACCGAATGAGCGGCAGGTGGCTGACAGTATGGACAAGGGATCCCGAGATAGTATTGGTGCTGACAAGACGGCTTGCCCATGGCGACAACTGCAACGGACGGGACGTTTTGAGGCTGCACAATCCGCCCAAGTTGAGGTGAAGTCTGGTACGGTAGAGTGAAGGGACATGAGGGCGACTGATTTCATTTCTGAGTCGTCGTCATCAGTGGACCTATGGCGATTGATCTACAGTTAGCGTCATTTTGCAATTGCACATGGTGCTTGCGCCAAATGCACTCACAGCCATGGTTGCACTTGTCTCGCAACACCAAGCGCGCCTGTCGTTTGCCTATCGCCCTTTCCTTATCTGCCGGCCAGTGACAGTCTGGGTCCCATAGTCAGTGCCCTCTTGTCCGCGTCTGTCGCTTCCGCCCTTACCAATTGAGCATCGTGCGACGTCACCTCTAAACATCCACCCACATCGTCGCACTGTCACTGCCCTCAGCCCTTCGCGCCCCAGGCGCCCCAGTCCGCCAAACTGGAGCAATCACACCCACAATCGCCGCGTCACTCGCAACGGGAGACGACCAACGCCGACACGGTGAGAGCACGCAGCTCTTCGATACGCCTGTCCCAGGCCAGAGGGGACGAGCCCGAGGATAAGGACCACGCTGGCAAATACCCACTCAACATGCTTGCGGGCAAAGGATACTCGTGGAAGGCCGCCCAGGCAAGACTGCCACCCTCGCGCCAGGTCCTACACACGGCGCGCAATCCAAGATTCCTGCTGTCTCTAGGTCTCCTGACAGCTGTTATCTTGCTATGGCGTTCTATGGGCTCAGCCACCGGCGAACTACAGAGGTACGCTATTCCTATCCATGGCTCCATACCAGCACCAGGGTATTGCCCGTCGCCTCATATGTCCGTTATTAATACCCTCGTCTTAGGTTCCACTGCTTCGGCCCCTCCAAACCACCCATGCACATGTCACCAAACGAGAACGAAGAATGGCATGCTCACTTGACTACACCCGTTGTATTCAACCACCACAAGCCAATCGAGGTCAATGCTACCGACATTCAGCACGTAAATCTCAACTCAATAAAATCTACCCCGAATGCAGTCAAGAATAAGGAGCGCGTCTTGATCCTTACCCCACTCCGCGATGCGTCTTTCTATCTGCCAAAGCACTTCGACCTTATCGCCCAGTTGACATACCCTCACGATCTGATTGATTTGGCATTTCTCGTTGGCGATACCACAGACGATACCGTGGCGGTACTGGCCAAGGAGCTGGAGAGGATACAGAACAATCCAGAGATAGCGTTCAGGTCGACCATGATTGTCGAAAAGGATTTTGGTGTAACTCTCTCTCAGAGTGTCGAGGACCGCCACGGCTTCGAGGCTCAGGGTCCGCGGCGGAAGGCGCTGGGCAGAGCGAGAAACTACCTACTCGCAACTGCCTTGAAGTCAGACCACAGCTGGGTCTACTGGAGAGATGTGGACATTGTCGACAGTCCGTCTAGGATTATCGAGGATTTTGTTGCACACGACCGCGATGTGCTTGTTCCCAGTGAGTAGTTTGTCAACAAAAGTTGAAGTACAGCAATTCTGACTAGTCGCAGATATCTGGTTCCACCGATACAAGGAAGAAAATGGCAAGAAGGTTGACATTGAAGGACGATGTAAGATTTACAGCCTGCGGGGTCACATTGGCTTTTACTGACAAGAATAGTCGATTACAACTCTTGGCAGGAATCCCCTCAAGGTCTTAAACTTGCAGCTTCTCTGGACAAGAACGTTGTCCTTGCAGAAGGTATATATCGCCTCATTTTCACAACTATCAACGCCCTTCTAATTTTGTCCAGGTTACAAGCAATACCCCACCAACCGCAAGTACATGGCCAAAATGGGCGACTGGCGCAAAGACAAGGACGAGGAAATACCCCTCGACGGTGTCGGTGGTGTCAACATTATCGTAAAGGCAGATGTTCATCGTTCTGGAATCAACTTCCCTTGTTACGCCTTTGAGAACCAAGCGGAAACCGAAGGGTTTGCTAAAATGGCACTCCGAGCGGGCTACGGTGTTTATGGGTTGCCAAATTATGTCGTCTGGCATATTGACACGGATGAGAAGCCTGGAAATGCTTAGACTAGATGAAGCACCTTCGCTGTGTGTTATTGGCAAGCGGGGAGGCGAAAGGAAAGGAAAGAGAGAAGAAAGCATATACCCAGGGAGTCGGGCGCACGCATTGATTCTATGGCTTGGGCTTTGGGGGGAAGGGCACATCTTGTGATACCTGTATGAGTAACTACTAAGGGATGAAATGGGCTATTACCTCTTTTTTTTTGTTTTCTTTGTACTTTCAAAACAACTAGCATGAGAGTTCAAATTCTAGGCAGGCGTATAGAATATTTTGCATACAGCAGGCGGTACTTTGAATAGAACATATCAAGTGGGAATCGTATGATGCGGACTTGCATTGATCCTAGATCCCAGGGCTCATGTCGCACAGCCAAGCCATGCATGCGAACGCCGTGTGAACATGACATGCATATTTAGGTACCCCACTATTTGTATATCGTACATGGGAAGTTTTTTTTAGCGCCTTTGTAGAATAACATGTTTGCTCACCACATCCCTTTTTCTACTACACATGCACCCCCGCGCTCTTACCCTCGTACAAACAAATCCCCTCTCTCACTCACTTTGGACGATAGAAGAGGGTGTATACCAGAAAGAAAGCCAAACTAAACTAAACTTTACAGCGTAAATATCCCCAAGTCCCATCCATCCATCCAAACCAGCAATTATAGAAGAAAAATTGGCAGTGGCTAATAATCATAAATACCGGCGTGAAACTTGCGCTCATCGTAGTATTTAGCGCGAATCTTCCTGCCTCTAAACTCCCAGCCTTCGTCGAAACGGTTGACGGCATTGAGGGCGCTGAGGACGGATTGGAAGTGGATGTATACGACGCCGTCCTTGTTGTTTTCGTCCAACTGCACGTGCTCGACTGGGCCAAACTACGTAATGTTAGTACATGAGACACAAGTACCAAAAAAGGGTACGCGTTTTCGGGGAGGAAAATCTTACCTTGTTGCTAAACGCTTCACCCATATCCTGGCGGATACCACCGTCGTTGCGATCAGCGTTGGCGTCCCAATCCACACCATCTACGCAACCCCAAGTAACCACGACAGACGACTCTTCACCAAACTTGCCAGGCTCGTCTTTCTGATTGCGTGCGCCGCCACGAACATCCCAGACCTGTTGCGATTTGACCTTGCCGCCTTCATCGTCAAAAGTGCTGGCTCCCTGTGGAACTTTGCGCATCTTGACCTCCAGGTGAGTGACCACTCCATCGTTGTTCTTGCCCAGACCTTGACCCTTTTTGTATCCCATCTTGGCCATCATAGCTTCTGCCTTGCTGATCTTGGGGCGCTTCGATGGACGCTCTTCTGGGGTTGGCTCGTCGTCTAGGTCTTCCATTGGAACATCGGGACGCTCGTAACGGACTGGGGGCGCTGAAATGGTCGCGTTCGCGTATCGTACGGGTGGCGCAGATATCGTGGCACCTTGATAAGTTGAAGATGTCGGCACAGAAGTAGATGGTGGTGGAGGTGGGGGTGGAGGCGTGTGATCATGTGTGGCTGAAGGGGGAGGCGGAGGATACCCAGGTGTAGGTTCATGTGCAGATGGAGATGGCGCACTGTTTGGCGGTGGTTGTGATAACTGCATGCGGCGAGCATAGGCATCTTCTCCAGACTGATCAGAGGGTGGCATTGCAGGGGCATCATCGTAGGAGGCCGGCGGGGCAAATGATGGTCTGGTGGGCACTGCAGCTGGAGCTGGGCTAGACGAAGAGGCTGAGCGGGAGCCATTCAAGGGTTCGCTCTCATTACGAGATCTGTACTGAGCGGCAGCCCCTCGCAAGAATGCGTTGAAACCCTCCTTCTTGCGCTGGTAGCCACCACTCGCTCTGTAAGCTCGCAGATTGGAATATCGCTCGGGCTTGTGAGGTGCCTGTGGATTCCACTGGCCGAACATCTTGTTGAACTTTTTCTGTTCCTTCTTTCGCTGCTTCTCCTCATAGTTGCGCATTCTCCGTTCTTCTAGGATGGCAGCATCGTCGTCAGCGGTACTTCGGTAGTAGTCGATACCGTGCTGTTGGGGGTTGGTGGCAGCGGGTCCAGGGCCTGAAGAGGAGACCGGGGCAAGTGCAGGCATGGTAGGTTTCTTGACAGTTGTGCCGGGCTTCTTGGCTTGGTTTTTCGCCTGGGGGCGCTTGATGTTGTGTGGATTATGAAAAGCTGCACATTTGCATGAGTCGTGCGTCAAGGTCAAAGTGTGGAGCAGTTCAGGTAGCTACCAGGTGCTTTCTTCTGTTGTTCAGCCTTGGCCTGCTCCTCGGTGTACTTGACAGGCGCAGCGGAGATGGTGGCCGAGGCATATGGATTGGGAAGGCCCCTCTGGGCATATGGGTTCGGCAGGCCGGCAGCCTTCTGCGGCGGTGGAGATGCCATGGTGTGGTGATGCGCAAGCAGGTGCGGCTGTGCGCAAGGACGCGTTGCGCGGTGTTTGTTGGTGTCGCGGAGGGAGAATGGATATTACACAGCCAGTATACTATTATTAATGGTGTCGCGACAGCAATGTCATGACCAGCAGAGGTGGTGGTGTTGATAATATGGTAGCGGTGGGGGTTGAGGTTGTGGTAAGAGATGGTGGAGTCGGCAAGGCGGCATGCGGCTCGCGTCTCGGTGCAGGCTCCCCACGCTAACGCGTTAGCTGCATTACGTATCACCTTCAGGAACGACTATTACCGTCCCGTCTTGCCAGTGCTCCTGATTCCAACATCCGATAACGGTCCTTTATAGACGACAGCAGACGCATCCGAGCAGGCTTCGGTGTTTGTATAAAATTCATAGATATTCCCTTTGCGCGCCATAAAATCAAAAAGGTACACCCAGATAAGCCCGCCCCTGCGACTGAACCATCTCGCTGATCGCGTACCCTAGATCCAACTTGTAATCACAATGTCTCCCACTACCTTGGAACAAGCCTTTTCCAAGGACTCATCATCGACCGCCATCATCGTCCCCGGTGCACCAGCCTTGACCGTTTCCTACAAGAAGCTGGCCGCAGATGTGAAAGCGTTCCAGCAGCAACTGGCCAAGGTCGGCGTATCTGCCGAGGCGGCTGTGTCCATTGCGCTGCCCAACACGTACGAGTTCATCGTATCCTTCATCGCTGCATCTTGGCAGAGAGCCATCGCTGCCCCGTTGAACCCAGCCTACAAGCAATCCGAGTTCGAGTTCTACATCGATGACCTGAGCTCGGCGATTGCGCTCGTCCCCAAAGGCGCGTTTGCTCAAGACGCAGCGGCGGTCCGAGCTGCAAGGAAGTACAATGCAGCGATTGCAGAGTGCTACTACAACGGCAGCGAGGTTGTCTTGGACGTAAAGGAGGCCGGAAAGCTCGCGGGTAAAGCTTCGCCGGTTCTCTCGGCACAGCCTGAGGATGTCGCGCTCGTATTGCACACCAGCGGTACGACTGGACGCCCCAAGGCTGTTCCGCTCACGCACCGCAATCTGTTGCGCACCATGAAGAACATCCAGGCCACCTACGAACTGTCTTCCAAGGACCGCACTATGTTGGTCATGCCTCTCTTCCACGTCCACGGTCTTCTTGCTGGCTTCCTTGCTCCTTTGGCGTCCGGCGGCTCTGTCATTGTACCGCTCAAGTTCTCTGCCTCTGAGTTCTGGAAAGACTTCCAGGAGCACAAGGCAAATTGGTACACGGCCGTTCCCACCATCCATCAAATCCTGTTGAAGAGTCCTCTCCCGAGCCCCATGCCGCATATCCGTTTCATCCGATCATGCTCCAGCCCACTTTCCCCAAAGACGTTCCACGAACTTGAAAAGGCACTCAACGCGCCCGTCTTGGAGGCTTATGCCATGACCGAAGCCTCGCATCAGATGACCAGCAACCCTCTTCCACCAGGCCAGCGCAAACCCGGCAGTGTGGGAATTGGTCAGGGTGTCGAGGTCAAGATCCTCGATGATGCCGGTAACGAGGTGCCTCAGGGCAAAGAAGCAGAAATCTGCATCCGAGGCGAGAATGTTACCAAAGGGTATCTCAACAACCCCGCCGCTAATGCTTCATCTTTCACAAAGGGTGGCTTTTTCCGCACTGGAGATCAAGGCAAGAAAGATGCCGACGGTTATGTCATCATCACTGGCCGAATCAAGGAGTTGATCAACAAGGGTGGTGAGAAGATTAGCCCAATCGAACTTGATAACGTCATCGCACAGCATCCCGCCGTCTCTGAGGCTGTGAGCTTTGCTGTTGAGGACGAGATGTACGGCCAAGATATCGGCCTAGCAATTGTGGTCAAAGAGGACAAAACACTCTCTGCCGGAGAGCTGAAGACATGGTTGACAGATCGTGTTGCCAAGTTCAAACTCCCAAAAGAGGTATACCAACATGCCACCCCTAAAGATAATACTGAACATTCTCTAACATCGTGCAGATATTCTTCACCGACATCATGTATGTGGACGTTACCCTTATAGTTGAAAAATGCGCTAATCGCCCCCTTCTAGGCCCAAGACCGCGACCGGTAAGATACAACGACGTCTTGTCGCCGAAGCTATGCTCAAGCAGAAACAACCCAAGCTATAGTCGCTCTTCTGGCCAATTTCAAGAATCTGCTTCTTTTTGGGTATTGCTATGCAAAGAACGTTTCAAGTTGTGTTTTCGAAGGAAAAAGAACCCCTTAGCATCAGAATACTATATGCCATTATACCTCTTCCCTTTTCGACGATTGCAAAAGTTTGATTTTCGCGTTGCATGAGTGTGGTCGACCACACACCCATATGGGTAGACTGTATAAGACAACACTAACAACGTCATGATCTAAGCGCATCTCTTTTTTTCTCGCGTAGCCGACCCTTGCAACCTCGCTTGAAAATCCCTTGCATATGCGGGAGGCGACTAACGTCGATCACCACATGGCTGGATGGGCCAAGCTTGGCGGGCAGGATTCTGACAAGTTCATGCCTCTGCCATGCCGTAAGCTATACGACGGATACTTGTGGTCAGCTGAAATGCATAATCGCTACCATTTCGAGATTTCGGAAGCAATATTCTCTTCGTGAGACGGGGTAATCATGGGAGATTTTTTGTGGGTGAGTTTGACTTGACTGTTGGCGCTAGCTTGCGGTACTAAACTAGCAACACCTTCCCGCCTCCATATGCTGTGCCTCTTGGATCTGTCTGTTGGTTGTTTCTATGTGAAATATTGCAGCTAATTCAGATGTTTCTGGGTAACGCTGCCCTACCTCTATCCTCATTGGCACTCTCCTCCAATCTTTACCTCCTGGCGCGCCAGTCAAAACCGCTCTCTACTATCAAGCCCCCTTTTTCGAGACCCTAGAATACTATCGACCATCGCTTATCGATTAATTCCAACGGCCCTAAAAAAAGACACTTTTTTTGGTTTCAGCATGGTTGCCCGCCAATGAGGCTTCCATTCGGCAATATGCCGGCATCATCCCCGGAGATTCTGTCTCAGCCTACGTATCCCAGGACTGACATGTCTATGCACTCTTTTCCAAGTAATCAAACACTACACAAAAGTAGGCCGTCCGCCATGCTCTATCAACCAGCGCTTCGTCAAGCTGCTCCCCAACAGTCATTACCTCTTTTCTAGCTGCAGCTGGCTTAATACCTCTTAATATGCCTTTTATCTACAGTAATACTAGCGACTCATCGAGTCCGGCTTCATCAGAGTCAAATCTCAGTTTTGACTATGATGATTCAGTTTCATCTTCGTCCTCGATATCATCGCCGGAGCCGTCGACACCACCACCTAAGCTGTCAACGACACCACCACAGTTGTCACCTCTACAACAAGAACTGTTGACCCCACAGCCCGAATTACTGACCCCGCAATCTGCCCGGTCGAGCCTGAAGCCCAGCCTCAAGTCACCTAAATTGATGCGTACATTGTCGCACTCTAAGTCATCACCAGCCATTGTACGATTCGCGGAACCACAACTGGTACCAAATTTGGGATCCAAGCCGTCAGTGAAGCGACGGACTATACAAGCACCAGAATCCATAATCAAAAGAATACCCAGTCCACTTCCGATGCCTCAGTTCCACAATGGCCTCCCTTTCGCAAGTCCGACTGCGAGTTTGTCCAAGCAGATCAACGGTTCTCAATACAACTCAGCACCTACACCACCTAATTTCAGCCGTCCGAGTTCCCTTCCGGCCTCTCATACTATGTCCATTCAAGCTATCAAGAGACGAATCAGTCACAAATCGCTTGTACAGACAGCCTCTCAAGAGCTCGATCCAAGATGGGCGGGACTTCCGCTACCAGCACATTACAAGCCGCCATCCCTTGGTCCAAAACCTCGCGGAGTGTCTTACGAGTCTTCAAAATACAACACCTCCCGTTTTTCTACTCAATCAGCGCCAGCTACTTTACAGGCATCGGCATTCTGTACCGCTCCATTGGGCCAATACAACCCACTTGAAAACTACATACCATGTCTATATCCTTCATGCAAGGCACACTACACGCCACTACACCTAGGTCCATCATTTTACCTCGCCAGTGGCCCATACTTCCTATCTCATCTACACGCACACTGTCCTCGCCATGCAGTCCGCGAGCTCGAAGAAGCCAACGCAACCCTCAAGCACGCCTACGAGATGCTCCGCCAAAACGCGGGCCGCAAAACCCTCGGCACAGTCGCCGCGGAATTCGAAGAACTGAAAGAAGAATTCTGCGACGACCGCCGCATCCACAACGCCAAACTCATCCGAATGCAAAAACGCCGCGTACTGGGCTGCCCATCTCAACCCACTGCCACTACCAAGAGCAACACTAGCAGTAACCCCACCAGTAAACCTCAACAACGCCATCACGAAACATGGGACTGGCGCTACACCCTCCGCCCCTGCATCAGCGCAACCTGCAAAACCCACTACACCCCTTACTCCAACCACCTCTACACCTTCTACCGCACCGCACTGTCCGGCACCTCTTTCTACCCGCAACAAACCTTCTGCCCCCGCTGCGCAAAGAAAGACATCGACGACTTCGCGCTCACCGTCAAACAGAAGTGGGGTAGTCGCTGTGGCTGGGACCGCCGTGAGTGGCTCGAGTGGCTCTGCGATCGCGTCAAGGATCGCGCTATGGAGCAGGATTATTGGGTCAAAGCTCAGGAGAGGGTTGTGAGGGAGAAGGGGCCGGCGAGGTGGGTGGGGTTGTTGAGGGATGAGGTTAGGGTCGAGATGAGGAGAGAGAGGGGGAAGGGGGGTTTTAGGAGGTGGGTGGCTAGTATGGGGGTTTGATGGGGAAGAGGTAGGCAGGGTGATTTGTGGTTTTCCCCTTTTCTCTTCTTCTCTTTCTTCTTTCTTTTTTTCTTCTCACATGGTCGTACGCGACGTTCACTCGCTGCTTTTTTTCGTATACGGATACACACGACACTCGCTTGCTTTTTGGCTTTTCTTCTACGTATACGGGATTTTTTTTCACGACATTCGCTTTCTTCTTTTCTTCCCTTTTTTATCTTTCCCGTATACAGTCTCTATACGACACTCGCTTTTCTTCCTTTCTTTCTACGTATACGGATCTACACGACATTCGCTTTTTCTCCTCTTTTCCTTTGTGAAATTCCGGTCACCTTCGCTTAGTCATTTCGTTATGTAGTCACGTCAGGATGCGGAAAAGTCTCACACTACCTTCTGTAACAAGATTAGATCATTGCAATATATGTTATGAGTTTACTTTCCCGGTATTTGAGGTGTTTTTTAAGGTGACTATCTCACTATTGAACATATGAGAAAACAAAGAACAAAAACTCGGCATGCAACGGGATATGTAGGGATATGTAACGATAGATGACAAAGGAAAGTAGAGTTCCCGAAAGTTCCTGACAAAACGATTGCACTATCGCCTAACGATGAGCTTTACAAGAGACAATAAAGTTACAAGATAAAACTTCAAATCCAGTATATGTACACGAGATGTCATTGCAAGTTATGCTAATCCAGGGCTAACAGAAAAGGAAAAGAAGAAAGAAAGAAAGTCATAGCGCTTCATTAGTATAATCTTATCTCTGACTCGGTCATGGCAAAGTCGGGTCTATGTCAGGATTATCCGACTGCTTCTGGCCCATGAATTGTTCAAAGGGGTACTTTGAAACTTGCCTAGGCCACTCAACATAATGCCGTAGGTGGTGTGTGACGTTCCAATATATACCCTCGATCCAACTCAAGACAGCGGTAGGGGCGTTGACACCTTGGAAGCCCACCCGCTCGAGATAGAGGATGGGTGTGAGGATAGCTTGGATAGCGATGAAGTGGGCGAGCAAGATCTGCGCGACGTTGTTGTTGGGGTCGATGAAGGCTTGGAACTGTTCGTGTGTCCACCGCGATGGAATGTTGTATAGTGTAACAAAGGCGGTGTATGCGTCGATCGGTCTCTCGTATGCGTGGTTTACTACACTGGCGAGGTGCTCCCAATATGATCGTTCGCAGTCGGACATGTGGAGGGACTCGATTGAGCTGAGGGATACGGAGGCTAGGTCGAGATCTCCTTGGTTGACGCAGTTCATTGACGAGGTGTCAATGCGGTTGCGTATTGTCTGGAGGTGACTGTCTTCGCGGAATACCTAGCTTGCGTTAGGATGAGGCTGCAGCTTTGATTGGAGCAAGTACTACGTACGTGGAAAACCGAATCCTCATTTAGCGACATTTCGTCTCCTGCAATCAGATTGCAACCACGCACCATGGTGAGGAACTCTGCCATGCCGTCTTGCAGATGGGTTGACTGAAACGCAAGAGCCAAAGCAGCCGCCATTCTAGCATCTCGCTCACATCGCGTCTTTGGGGGTACTGATAACGCTTCATTGAGCGACTTCACTGCTAGAATTCGGTGTTGTATAGCCTGCTCAGCAACACCAGAGCTTGTTACGGCATCTAGATGGGATGCAGATAGGGCCAGAATCGAATGGATGAGATACTCATACTGCGAGAATCAGCCTGCAAGCCTGAAGTCTGACAATATATCGGCTTGGAGGATATTCTTCTTTCGAAACCTTGTGAGAGATAACCTACGTTGTGTGCAAAGCTGGGAATTACAGTAACCCATATCTTGTCTTGCCCCACAGGTAGATGCGGGTATGCAGTGATGAGGAAATGGTGAAACAATCGCATATCTCCCATCGACTGTAGTTGTCAGGTACTTGCAAACTAACTCTAGGTTTAGGAAAGTGCTCACGAATACTCCTGGAGCGGACCGGAAGCCGCCTGCCTCCCGTGGACCTGAGATAGCGTGGGACCGCTGAGTTGCTTGAATGATGTTGGCAGGATACTCGCACTGTAGCCCAGCTTTGAGGCAGTGACTGCACTCGGGATGTCTCTCGTTGCACTTTATACGTCGTCGTTTACAACTGTAGCACCCACGGCGTGATTTAGTATGGCCCTTCCTTGGAATGGGCCTGCGGGGCAGCGGTGCTATACTCTCATTTCGACAGTCCGACAGCGTTGGCGAGTCGCTTGAAGAACTGTCCAGTACACTACCGCGATCTTGTGGAGACGACATGAGCAGTGAAGGCAAGAAGAAGGATTCCGTAGCCGCGGTCGCGGGTGCTGCTTCCCATGTGCGGATATATACTCTGTCCATCCACGACAAGCAATGGCCCTGACATGGGAGCACAAAATTTGGGGGCTTAGACAGGGAGCGCGAAGCGACCGACCCCGCGGGTGTGGTTGATGCACATTAATCAGGGGATGCCAGGTGTACGGCTGAACCCTGGCTGACTCACAGGCCTGTACCGTAAAACTGACGTGTCGGACAAATAGAATGAGAAGCTTGGATAGTATTGTAACTATGACAGTGGTAGAATAGGTCTAGCAAGTGGGAGTTCAGTTACTAGTCGGCTCACCGGTATGCAGCCATAACCGTTAGATGGCTGTCGATGGCCTCGAAGGCTGTGTCCCCTTGGTGCATCATTTTTCTAGGCATGTATGCCTTGTGATCGTTCTAGGCAGACTTTGCGATGAAACATGCTCTTCAGTGGACTCCATCGCGACGTGTCTCGCTCATGACGGGCCGGTGCACACGCCGGGCCCGTTGCGATGGCGTCGCCATGGCGGGAGATAACGGCTTCACACAGTTCCTGCTGCCTGCCGCTGTTGACCAGACTATTCCTGCATCACGAGATGAGGGCAAGCCTCGCCAAGATGAGGGACGTCGCCGATAGGTTGATCTGCCACTGGGCCAGTCTGGCCGCGCCTCCAGACTATCTTGGACAGCGCGTGAGACTTGAATTAGTATCGTCTTGAGTCTCCAGGTAGAATTGTACGTCTCGAGGGCTTAATTATAGTTAGAGCTGCATGCGGTTGATCCAAGAGGCTTTCCGATGTACTGTGAATGGCGTGGAAGTGAAGAGAATGGATTTGGTAGGACATGCGAAGCATTTGTGTGGAACCAGAGTGCATGTTGTTATTGGCCAACCGTCGAAAATCTCGCGTAACCTTGTAGTCCCCGCATGCAGGCTTTAGGCTTCATCAGGCACAGGTGGTGTCCAAGCAACGGAGATGCCAAAACAGGAGGTGAGCTGAACGCAGCAGCAGCCGTGGGAGTGGTCTGCCAAGCCGCTAACGTAGCCAGCGAAGTGTCCAGCCGTCCAGCCGCTGTGAATTGGACCCTGCTCCCCGCCATTGGTCTCCTCCTCCTCCTCTATCCACCCACCACCCTGCACGTGCTCCCGCTCTCTGCTACTATATCGGTCTGTGACGCAGGATTGCATCGTTCCCAATCTCACGGTACACCATGCCCGTCCTCGAGGTCACCCAGCTCCGTCTAAAAGAGCTCTCAGCCGATGACCCGGCACTGCTTGAGAGCCTGTCAACTGTCCGAGCCGAACTGCAGACCGGCTCCCACTTCTACAACTGCATCGACGATCCCAGCTTGATCTATATTTTAGGCACATGGCCAAGTCTCGATGCTCATATGGACTTCCTTGCCTCGCCTTCCAAAGACCAGATTCTTGGCCCCCAAGAAAAGATGCTGCAGTTTTGTTGGACAGTTCATGTGGAACTTAGCGGTGTGAACTTGCTTCTACTGGATGCACCTATTTTAGCAATGGAAAGAATTAGTGTCTCAGAAGAATCCACTCGGGGTTTCGACGAGGCAGTCCAGAGGCATGCGCAGCAGCTTCAAGGTAGCCTTCCGTTTAAATTAGCACACGGCTGGCGATGTGATGCTGCGCTAAACCACCACGAGGCTATCATCTTTAGTGGATGGCAAACTCCACAAGCTCACTCCGCCTTTGCAGCCAAGGAAAGTCAAGACAGACAGTACAAGACGCTACAGATGACGTGTGCCAGGAATTTGGAGCGCGAGGTAGTACACTAAATATGGCTCAAGCTATTCTTCTCTCGCGCTCTTAGCCCGAAGTCTTTGCTTCTAGGAGAAATTAAAGATTCGTCTACAAAGTACTTGAAAACAGGTTCAGCTCCAATCCACATCTGTGTCGTCACTCCCTGTGAAGCTTGGGCACGGCTAATTTTCTCAGGAGTCCCCAGTGAATCGGGTGCCGTACCCGACAAAACGTGACTTGCATCGGTGGCCCGTGGCCCGTGGCCCATCCATAGGCCTTGCACGAGGGTTCCATCTTGCAGCACTTACTGACCTTTCTTTAAGATGAGGTATTGTCGTTCATTGGATAGTAGGTCTTGTGCACGGCATCTCGGGACAACCCCTCCTCTCAATCACCGGTTCGTGCCTATTTAGGAAAATGGCTATGGGATAGACACTCACGGGGGCCTCTGTAATATTCCCATCAATAAAGTAAATGACTGCATAGACTATGGTGATTTTGTCAGGTTTTATACAATTACATAAGCAATCGGTTGTGGGGTAGTACCCAAGCAATGCTGGGCATTCTCTAGGCCAGCGGCGTACGGAGCGGGACACCACGGGATCGTTCGTAGGGCTGGGCATAGTACGTAAGCTTGCAGCCTCACCCTGAAGGCAAACTTCACGGTACATAGTAGTTGAGTAGTATTAATGTTGTCTACTAGGTTTTCTATGTAGTTGAGGTTGCATTTCCAGTCTGTCGGTAACTTTACCCCGCCGTCAAAGCGGGCATCAACCACCAACCAAAGTGACGTCGCTGTTGAGTGCAATTTCCTAGGCTATTGATTAGAACCAGGATACAGTAAAAGACTCTTCCGGTACTTCCGCTGAATAAGTCTCATGCCACTTTAAGTTTTACTTTTGACCAAGTTCAATCCAATATCACGTCTTTAGGGGCGAAGACGCTCTCTCTTAAGTGACATCAAAGAGCTGAGCTAGCATAACTGCAGCATTTACAGGGCGCCCATCATGCGTATTAACACCTACTTTTCGATCTTAATCCAAATTATCTCACTGTCGACGGCGAGGGTACACCGTCGACAAACTAATGGCACTGATGTGTTGAAATTCATCGACCCATTGATAGGTTCTCGGGATGGAGGCAATGTCTTCTCTGGTGCGACTCTGCCATATGGCATGGCTAAAGGTATAGTATATTTACAGCTGCAACAAGTACGAGAAGCTCATAATAAAACAGCCGTTGCGGACGTTGATGGGGCAAACACGGGAGGCTTCTCTACTGATGGAAGCAACGTAACCGGTTTCTCTGCCCTCCACGATTCTGGGACTGGAGGCTTTCCGAGTTTGGGAAACTTCCCCATTTTCCCACAGCTCTGCTCTGGAGACGACATTAACGATTGCAAATATCAAATTGCTGCACGTGCGACTCACTATAAAGGCGACTCGGTCAAAGCACGACCAGGCTACTTTGGATTGTCGCTAGAGAATGGCATATTTGCCGACATGACTGTTTCGGAGCATACCGCTCTTTTTCGATTCGACTTCTCTAAGGCGTCCACTGGTAATTCGAGCTCAAACCCCCTGATCCTCCTCGACTTAACTGATCTTTCGGCGAGCCGGCAAAACGCTTCAATCAGTGTCGAGGCAACCGAGGGTGCTGAAAACGGAAGAATAAAGGGAAACGGAACTTTTATTCCCAGCTTCGGAGCATCAACGTACAAGTCTTACTTTTGTCTGGATCTGTCTGGGGCAACGGTACGGGATTCTGGAGTTTGGGTCAACAGTCGAGCTGGTACAGAACCAAAACAGCTTTTCGTCACGCGCGGCTTCAACTACTTTTATCTCGAGGCTGGGGGTTTTGTACGCTTCAAGGGACCGCTTTCGGGCCCCTTGCTTGCGCGGATGGGATTGAGCTTCATTAGCACTGACCAGGCATGCCAGAATGCTGAGCGCGAGATACCCAACCCTGACAACGACTTTGATCAGTTAGTCAAATCAGCCGAAGACACATGGCGTGAGAAACTGTCTCCGATCTCGATAGAAGCGGGAGACGTGGACCAAAGCTTTCTGGTAAACTTCTGGAGTGCGGCATACCGGACAATGATATCTCCCCAGAACTACACAGGCGAGAACCCGCGTTGGCAAAGTACCGAGCCATACTACGACTCCTTCTACTGCATTTGGGACCTCTGGCGAGCCCAACTCCCTTTTCTTTCGGTTCTTGATCCAGGAATGATCTCAGTCTTCATCAGAAGTCTATTGGACACGTACAAGCATCGCGGCTGGCTTCCAGACTGTATGATGAGTACCTGCAGCGGCTGGACACAAGGCGGCTCCAACGCAGACAATGTCCTCGTAGATGCCTACGTTAAGAACGTCACCACTGGCATAGACTGGGAGCTCGCCTACGAAGCCATCGTCAACGACGCCGAAAACGAGCCTCTAGAATGGAGCTTCCAAGGCCGCGGCGGCTTGACCAGCTGGAAAAGACTCAACTACATCCCAGCCCTCGACTTCGACCCTGTCGGCTTCGGCACAAACTCACGCAGCGTATCCCGCACCCTCGAATACGCCTACAATGACTACAACCTCGCCGTCCTCGCCCGCAGCCTAGGCAAAGACACGGCACCGAAATATTTTTCCCGTGCTACAAACTGGAAGAACCTCTTCAAAGCTGACCAAAAATCTTCTGTCAACGGCACAGACACTGGTTTCGTAGGCTACTTCCAGCCCAGATATCTCAACGGCACATTCGGATTCCAGGACCCCATTGCATGTAGTCCGCTAACGGGTTTCTGCTCTTTAACGAGCAACGCGGCTGAGACATTCGAAAGCAGTCTTTGGGAGTACATGTTTTTTGTGCCACATGATATCGGTCAGGTGATTGAGTTGGTGGGCGGCGACGAAAAGTTTATCAGTCGTTTGAATTTCTTCCATACATCAGGTTTGGCAGATATAGGGAATGAGCCGGTTTTCTTGACGGTTTCTTTGCCGCATTATGCGGGGAGGCCGGCATTGTCGGCTGAGCGGGCGCATTATTGTATGGCTTCTTTTCTTCGCACAAGTGCTGTATCTTACTAACGCTTTGGGTCTAGATATCCCATCTCGATTCAACACCTCCCCCGGCGGCCTCCCAGGTAACGACGACAGCGGCTCTATGGCTAGCTTCACGCTCTTCCACATGCTGGGTCTCTTCCCTAACCCCGGTCAAAACATATATTTCATCACTCCTCCATTCTTCCCCTCAGTCTCTGTAACCAACAAGTTGACTAACGCGACTGCCACCATCCGCACCGTCAATTTCGATGCGCAGTACAAGAATATCTACATTCAAAGTGCGAAGCTAGATGGCAAGGAGTATACTAAGAATTGGATTGGACACGAGTTTTTCACAAACGGAGGGACGCTGGAGTTAGTACTGGGGGACAAAGAAAGTAAATGGGGCACGAACAAGGAAGACAGACCACCGAGTATGTCTGACGACAATGGCGCAGCAGTCGGTACGGAATTGAAATTCACAATGTAGAAAAAAGTTCGGGAAACTTGGAAATCGGTTTCGGACATATGGAATAATAATAATGAGATAATACCACTTTTCATACGTCATACCGAATCCGCCACAAAACCCCATTGAACACACACCCTTGCCATTCCTTCAATCCAACAACCAAACCCGTCTTCCCACCACCGTTGTTGCCTTTTTACCAGCCGAACCATCCGCCCCACCAATCGGTCATCACCGCCCATGACCTCATCGCCTCCCCCCCCCCCCCCAAAAAAAGCAAAAGAAAACAGCGCCCTGCATGGCCCTTCTTCCCCTTTCCAGGGTCCTCTTCCTTAGCACACCCACACATCCAAAGCCGGATCGACAGGGAAACCCACTAAAAAGAAACCTGCAGGGACTTTATTCTTGCATCACCAGAATCATGGTAATGGGTCATGTAAATAGTCTCAAGGTTAAAAAAGAAAAGACGAATTTACCGTCAGTAACGTCGGTGGAGACCCGAGATCATCACTGCAGGGCTTCGTCTGCCCAAAAAAAAGCATGTTCACCAAAACACGTAAACAATTGCACATACACAAATACAAACGCGCGCGTGAGGATGGAGTAACGAGGGGAGGCAAGTCGGCAATTGCGACCAATGTAAACCAAAATCTAAATTCTTTTTTTCTTTGTGTGTATTCGAGACACAGTTCTTTATCTGCCGTACTGTACTAAAACCGTACCGCGTATGTTTTGAGTTTCGATTTGGGGGGGTGGGGAGGGGTGATCCTAGAAATATTAAGCCCGAGCATGACAATGTTCCTACTGACACACAGGAAACCAACAAAGGAAAATAGTACAAAAAGAAGATTACTACAGTATAAGGGGATGATTTTCATCTCATGTTGTATAACATGTGATGAACAGGTGGTGAGCCAAATAGGTCAAAAAGGGTTAAAATATGAAAGCTGTTGTATTTTTACTACTCAAGTGTAGTATGATGCAACAGTCCAAAAGAAAGAGAGAAGAAAAGAAAAAAGAAGTGGAGTTCCAATGTTGCTTGGAAAAGACCCAAAACGCCGGAACCCCCTTCACCCCTAGTACAAACCCCAATGCATTGGTTTGAATGGTATCGCCTTGATTGACTCCTCCCGTTACGCCGGATCCTGAAAAGTGACCAAAAAAGACAAATCATTTTAGTGGGAATGGTCTTCGACCTTGATTCCATGGGACCCCTTGTTAAACGCCAAAATATGCGAGAGATAAAGTGTGTGATGTAGTACAGGATGTGTGTCGTCATGCGAGAGCGACAGCCTTGACGGTGACGCTGGATGTGATGGAGGCTGGTGGCGTGGGCGGTGCAATATCCATCTCAGGCGTGACCCAGCCTTGTTGGCGCGCGACCCACATGACGAGGTTGATGTCAAAGTTCTCGAAAAAGACCTCGTCGAGAAAGCGGGCCTTGATGCCGGCGTAGGTGTGGTACTCCTCGCGGATGACGTCAGGATCGAGGCCCAGCACCCTCCGGAAGCAAGCGATGGTGCATCCAGTGCGGTGCTTTCCCTTGTTGCAATGTACAAGGATGGGATGGTTTGAGCGATCCATGATGAGACGGAGAGCCCGTGCCATTTCGCACGACTCGACGCGAACTTCGCCCTTATTGGCGCGTATATGGGCGTGGAAGTGCTGTATGCCAGCATCTTTCATGAAGGCCTGGAACTCAGGCGTGAGGGGCTCCGGCACGAGAGTCAAGATTGTCTTGATACCAACGTCCTTGATGAAGCCGTAATTCTTCTCCTGTGGGTATCCACTGCGGTAGATGCACCCGGGCAGAACTGCACCGTAATTTGTGGGGGGGATCAGGGGTTGTAGGCGCTCAGGGGATGAATGGATGGAGAGGGTCGGGGTGATGGTGCCGTGCGAGTCTGCAGTGCAATTCGAGGAGCATTCGTGATCGTGTGGGTTTAGGACATCTTTCAGGTCCTCATGTGTATTCTCGGTAGCATGGTGGATGAGCCCATCGCTCGCAGAGAGACCCAGGGAGCGGACAAACTCCCTGATCCTGTCGTAGACATTTTCCTCGTCGTTCTGGTCGCGATAGTGGCGAAGGCTAAGGGCCGGGGCCGAGCTATCTCCATCTGATATGGACATTATGGGGTAGTATGGGGTTGGTGGTCTTCTGGGGATAATGGGACGGCGTCGAGCTTTTAGCGACAAGCTCAGCTTGTGCCTCGGCGCGCTCACAATGCTGCGTTTCTAGTATATGGGCAGGTCGCTAGCGGCGGGCGTAGTGTGAGAATAGTGCGTTTGTTTGCGCGAAGAGTTACTGGAGATAGTATCGGTAGAGTATGGGGACAGAAGCCAGCGCGGACAGCCTTTTTAGACGCGTTAGTTACTGTGGGAAATGGTGTTTCGGGAGGTGTCGAGATGCAGATCTATGGTTGCGGATGGTGCGAACCAAGGTTTGGTGGTGTTGGGGGGCGAAGTCAAGGGCGTTTGATTCAAATGCAGTGGACGACAGGGTGACTTACTTCGCGGTTATGGGCCTGTTACAGGACACATGTTGACGGCGTCTTGCGGGGATGCGAGGCGGCGGCGAAGTTCATGGCGAGCAGGTATTGCAATTAGAGGGTAGGACAAGGTGGTAGGGGGCGTGCACGGAGGGGGGAGGGGGATATTTGTGCACTGATGCCTGGGGAGGCGGTAGCGACAAGGACGTCAGCCGTCGTTCACGGGGCCGTGGAAAAGTAGTGTGATTATAATGGGCGTGGGTTTGGTGTTGTGGAAAGTCTCGGGTGCTTCTAGTGCGCCTTGAACGGTTCGAGTAAGAGCAAGCGGATTTGGTCCGCTTGTCTGAACGCGGAATATTATTAAGGGTCCACCAGGCCTGGCAAAGGCGATATGTACGTCAGTGGACGCTCTTTTTTTTCTTGTTTGCCAGTGTGATTGGCGATGGGCGGTAAGCAGGAACACTGCGGATGGTGAATAATTGCACAGTCATATCATGACAACGTATGTACCACTGCCAAATGTCTTGTGTATGGATTATTACGCCCCCCCGCAAGCCCTGTGTGCCAAAGCCAACGCCTCACGTCCCAGGGCCCTCCACCCGAGGCCTGGAAGGCTGGCTAGTCCAAAGACAGGCCCTTGGCAGTCTGGTTGCGCTCCCGTTCCAAGGTTGCTGCTCCGCCGCATAGCTCGGACTTGGGCGGCGCGTCTCAACACCGTCTCGGCCTCGGGCCCAAGCCATGTCTGATACTTTTCCTATCGCCGTTGGCTCCGTCATCGCTCCACAAAGACCACATGGATCAGTGGGTAGTGGCGTGTTGGTATGCTTAAGCGTATGCGTAGGTCTATTTTCCCTCCACGGTGGTGGGTCTATCGGCACACAGCAGCCGCCTAATATTACTCGAAGCGTATCGAACCTTCACTGCCAACACCAACTGCCGGCCGCCGCAACATCATAACTTTGCCTCTCTGGACATTTACATGCTACAACTTTATTGCATCTATGGTAGTAAAATCTCGCCAAAGGGCCGTCGTACTTCCAGGCCTGGTGCATGGCTCCCGAGTACGTAGATCTATACGAGCTTGTAGAGTATGCGAGGCAAGTGCTGCGACGACTATGGGCCTGTATACTCTAGCTAGCCACCTGGTCGTGCATGTCGATCATCACCTTCGGCGGCTTTGCCTCGACATCGCCTTCGCGTGTTGCTTTGGCGTCGTTTTCTCCTTCTGCGCTTTCACGTGCAAAATCTCATCGATCGCCCGCTAGACCGCAAACGAACTAAATCTCCCATCCCCAGAGTCTGTGCGCGCCAGTGTCGAACCTCGGTCACTCCATCATCACGGCACACAATTTGGCGTCCTGTGGGATATATGGACAGTCGACGTCGTAACTGCGCCCTCTGATCCTCGAATATCATGGAACCCCCGCGCTCAACCTCGCGATCGCGCCGATCTTACCCGAACCTCCACAATCTCTCCATAGCCCCGCTCAGCGCCAAATACCCACTCGATGCATCTGTTCCACCATCACCCGACGAGCCGGGAACCCAGACACCTCGCACATCCTACATAGCCCAGAAGTCTGCTCCAGCCACACCAGGCGTGTTGAGCCTCAGTCAAACCCGAAGCAGCTCGAGACAGCACACCAGAAAGGCCTACGCATATGACAGCTACTTCGTCGACACCAATTCTGAGATCCGAGCAGCTGGCGATATACCAAAAGCCAAGAGCACAAGCGTATTGCATCCTGGAGTTAGCTTCACAGATGAAGTCGCGAGCGTGACGGAAGCCAGCAAGCCGCGGCATCACACAAGAAAAGGCACCGCGCCTCTCCCTCTCTTCTCACCCCCCATCAAACACCACACCAAAGAATCAAACCATGAATGGCTCCACCGTGCCGGCCTCGCCATCGCCGGCGAAACAAGAGATAGCAAAGGCCAAAGCTGGCTTGTCCGCCGTGAAAGCTCTACAAGCCTCGTAGGCCAAGACAATGAATACAACCCCGATGCCCCCCACGACAACAACCACAACAACCACATGGTTCTTCTATCTGGCGAACACGTCAATGAAGCAGACTACCCGTCCTTCTTCTCCCCCCGCATGTCGCGCGCCGGCAGCAGGTTCCCCAGCCGCATTGGATCACGCGTCCCCAGCGCGCGTCCCAGTCGTCGCGGCAGCAGAGTAGGCAGCCGCGTAGACCTCATGACGGGTCTGGGCATCAAAACGGTGTCTGAACCCGAAGAACGCTTCATTGAGCCCGATTTCATCGAAGCCGACGAGGACTCTGACGGCGACGAAGAAGAGGTCGCGCGGTTAGCACGCGAACGCGGGTTTGGCCTCGGAGGCTGGATGGATCGCTTGATTGGGTGGTCGTTGTTTGCAGTCGATGAGGATAGAGAGGGGTCGGACGAGGATGATGAAGAAGAAGATGAGGAGGATGACGCGCGTGAGGGTAAGGGACTGAGTGGTAAGGAGTTGAAGTTGGATGATTTGACAAAGGAGGAACTTAAGCTCAGGCGCGAGGTCGAGGCTAA